TGTTAAAACATTTGGAGAGATGACAACCATTGTACAAGTCAAGTCTATTTTGTTTATTATAGTGTCATATATCACAATTACATCCTACAAGCATATAGTTACACAGCATAAAAACATATAGTTACATAACAGGGATCAATCATCTTAATATAAAAATATATAGACCATATCATAATTTTGTTAAGAGCAGCTATAATATGTAAAAAAAAAACAAAAAAAAACAACACTATCACATGTTTCAATACAGAGAGCAGGTGATTGGTAATATTACCACGATTAATCATCACTCTAGTAAAACAATGTTTGTAAATGACGTCTAACTCATTTTTTGTAGGTGACGTCAACCAAATGTTTGTTAAACTGTCTTACTTAATGTTTCTTAACAATGGAGTAACATCTTAAGACGGCAACGCGAGAGACTGTGTAGAGACAATAGATGGACTGTCATGATAAGTTTCTGTAAATATATTAGACAGACAGACAGACAGACAGACAGACAGACATTCTTTATTTCCTCTAATAAGAGATTACATGGTCTTGTCGTTTTTAACAATTTCAACAATTTAAAGCATGCACACTACATATTTACATCATACTACAGTTTCTTACTGTATTCTTCAAACCATGCTTAAGAGCTAGAGCTGTTCTGGAGAAGTATGTTCATTTCTGTGAACATCCCAACAAGTTTGTCACTTATAGCAACCATCAGATTGTCCCATTCTCCATCGTCCAAAGAAATATCGTTCCTTCCACCAAGAATAAATGAACATTTTTTGTCTTCCTCTAGCATATCGTATTGTACATATTTTTCAACGCTTATAAGATTAACTATTTGTTCCAGCAAGATGTCTCTACTTTTAAATAATGTGGGACATTGTATAATGAAATGTTTAACGTCATTGTTCACAACTTTTTTGCACAATTTACACATCACATTTTGGAATTCAGCCCTGTAGGAAAGCTTGATTAATTCACAAATTTTCCATGTGCTTTTAGGGAATTTCAACGTTAGAGACCATAAGGGATTGGGTCCAATATATTGATGAACTGCCCTATAATATAACAGATCGGGACGATTTCTGCACATTTTACACCATACATCATAGTAATAGTTTGTTGTGACTTTCTTAATAAACGATTTCCACTGAAACTCTCTACAGCACGCACCAGAGAACACAAACTCGAAAAAGAATGTCTCGATGTTAAATTTCACCATTGTATGGAAGATGTCTACGATGAAGCTTACGTTTTGAAACGATTGTGAGGTGAACATGAATGTACATAAGCGAATAATAAATAGAGATTTCCAGACAAAAGATAATTTAGCATTACACAGTTTGTTCCAAAGGTACAGTTTTCTGATTTCTACATCAGACCATAAATCATCAGGTAAGTCAATAGCTCTGGTAGTTATGGCCGACGACGAAGTTTTCTCAAAACCCTGGCATCTTCGTGCAGCATACCGCATGGTTCTATTTAACATATCAATGGACTTCTGCGTAGCATTTGCCCAAAGTTCACATCCGTATATAACACCTGGTATGATAATTGCTTTAATGAGTTGCGCACTTTTGAGAGGATTCAATCCGCCTGGATGGATACCAACACTCATTAGACTGTTAAGGTTCCTTCTACCTTTGTCGCACGCGCTTTCTATACCGACATCAGCTTTTAGGTTTGAACTAAACATAATTCCCGCGTAAACCTTTGTATCAGTCCATTCGATAATCGCGCCTCCTAGAGAACATACAGCTGATGGTTTATTGGCGATTCGTCTCTTATATGAAAATTCCATCAGCGAAGATTTAGCAGAGTTATAATTTAGCCTCCAAAGATTAGCATACGCATTTACGATATCTAGTTGAGCTTGGAGATTCGTGATGCTTCCAGCTAATAAGAGCGTGTCATCAGCTAATACTACGCAGGGGATATGTAGCTTTTGAATCTGTAAACCCTGTTCCGCTTCATCCAGAGCACGTGCGAGACCATTTATCATAACGAGGAATAGCCAGGCTGATAAAGTTCTCCCATGACCGACCCCTTGCTTAACTAGATAGTCTTTGCTAATTTTGCCGTCATACAGTACACGCGAGGTCACGGTTTGAAACGAATTTTGTAGTATTCTCCAAAAAATTTACCATTAAAACCGAGTCTGTACACCTTATGTAATAGCCCGTCTATCCATACACTGTTAAATGCTTTTGCATTGTCCAAGAAGGCAGCAAATACCTTTGTCTTATTTTCGATATAATGACATATCGATTCCTTGACAGTGAACGCTGCCATAATACTTCCACATTCCGCTCTAAATCCCTGTTGTAGTCTATGCGGAAACTGCAGTTAATATATTATCATGGTATAGTAAATATGTGGTGAAAGTTGACAAAGTGACAAAAGTCGAGTGCAATCTAGGATATGGTCAATTATAATAGCATTGATGGGCTTTTTTTTTATTCCACATGTACCATGGGAACGCATTGATTGTTTTATCATAAGTTACAATAATATAAAATGTAATTTTTTATTTTAACTTTAAAGATTCATTTGCATTTTTCGATGACGAGAGTTCAATTTCAGATCAAATTTTGCCGGCACACCGTTCTAAAGTTCTCAACGAATATGGATACTGTGTGTTTTAACGATTATAATCTACTGAAAAATATTAAAATCATCTGTAGACGAGGCAAAACAACTACTTGCTACTTTGACAGTCACACAACAGTAAACAACAATGCAGTTATTGACCATTTAACGTCTGAAATCAACCTTTTTTGGAAAATTGTAACGCAACAATCACGTGACCATGCGTATACAAGTCATGTGGCCTTGCGATATTTGTCAATTATGAGTTATTCCTATATAAAAATAATACGGTTACATATACTATTTTCATAAAATCGTTTAAATCTCGTCATCTCAGGGGTACTCCCTCCCAACATAAATCAACATATATGTGGATGATTTTGTGGCTCTATGGACCTGAATTGTGCCACAAAATCATCCACATTTATGTCCTTAATTAATGATATAGATACAATTCTTTTGTTTCTTGTCAATCATCATGTAATTTACATGTTTTTTTTATGAATCGCGCGTGTATTTCCTTATTTCTACTCTCATACGTAAGTGATTTAATTGAAAGGTCAGTCCAGTTATAACTGTTTATTGACAATGAAATGATATTGACGGAAAAGGGTTCTGGTTATCTAGGTCATATCAGTTCAAAGCAAATATTCAAAGTGTAATTTCAAGTGTAAGGCGAAGCGTCAAAATGACATATACAACAGCGTCATTACAAAATCACCTGACATATTTTATTGTGCTGAAAACACAATTTCACTTTGGTTGTTTATCTAGAGAACATGCAATCAATATGAACAAGTTAATACAAAACACAGATGTATAAAGGAAGGCTACTGAACGATATCTATGATTTATGTAAACAGCATGTTAATGCACGTCTTTTTTGAGAACATCACTGCCGTCGTCTTTTAGTGAATCTTTTGCAACACACGATAAGGGCCATCAACAGGAATTCCACCAGCTCTGACAGGGTAAGAAAACTAGCGCCAAGGAATATCCCCATCTGACCTCCAAGAGTTGCTGAAAACAATATAACGCAATTATACTATATTATGTTTTACCGATTGCTTATCTTATAAGCATCCCTACACAACCGCCCAATTCCTTTAATTGCGCAAGCAAATGTGCATAAAGATTTCTTTTATACTAAATTGATGAGCTGTGTTGCTTAGATAATCATTTCATTTTTGATAAACAAAATACTACACAACCAGATGTGGTAATAGGATTTTGAGCAGTAGGAAATCAAACGGGAAGATTTCTATATTTCAACTAGCACCTGCACTATCATATGTATTTATTGACAGAGTTGCCTTCGTAACTCACAAAACAACGTTTGATTGTGATTAAATATTTACTTTGGCAATATCGCAAACATGTTCCTATTTCATATGATCTTCATAAAACGTGCTTCATATAGCTTAAAACAAGTAGTGATACTATATATCCCACACAAATCATAATAAAGAAACCTCACACTACCATTTTCTGATTATCAGTCCCAACCCCATCCCTTGTTAGTGTTACTGAAGGGAAAATAGTTTGTCCCTCTGTTCTTATCCCTTGTTCAGTATTCCTAATCTGTAATAACGTCCTTTTGCCACAAAACAAAAAATGTCTAGCGCATATTGTTTATACCACCTCACATGGCGCTGTAAACTCGGTACGCAGGTAAATCTTGGAATAACACAATGTCGCCTGCATAAGTACGCCAGTTTGTCTCCTATACTTCTAACTTTGATCCTTATCATTTCACCTTTTCTGTATGTAGGTACATTTGGTATTGACCTTTAGGGGTACAACAATAGCATTGTTCCCTGTCTCGGATGTTGGCCTTTCATTTTTTGAATCTATGGATCATCTTTAGTTATGTTTAGTTTCTCTCCGATATAACAAAACAAAAATCATTGAATATGATTTAGTGAAGCGTAAATTTCTGTTTCTCCTCGATCAGATAAGATCTAGGTATGAATCCAAAATAAACACATCTGTACGCCTTCCTAAAACAAGGTTACGTTAGCAACCTTTTAGAAGGGCAAATGGTGCGGAATCTGTTTACTTTGTTCGACTTGCTTAATTTTTTAACGGATGCTTCTTTCATCACTTACTTTCAAGACGTTGTTTCCTTCGTTCGTATTTTTAATGATTATTGTACATACCTATGACCTTTTCGATGTTATACTCAGGCATGTACTCCACGTTCAAGTAGCTGAGAGTGTCGAAGAAAAAACGTACCTCCATGTAATCTCTCCTGGCGATATAACGGACATATGATAATGAAAAGATATAGAAATGTACAATTACAATATATTATATACTAGAAAATCAAATGATGTCGACAGTGTGGAAAAAAAATATGTCGAATTGTCGGAGCAGTTCGCTCCTTTTTCAAGACATACAAGAGACAAACAAAGACTTTACCTAAAATATACGTATTGCTACAAGTGTAAAAATTAGAGTTAATGTGAGAAAAGTCTACCTTCATTGCGATACTCTTTTTATATATACTTTTATGCAATCATATTAATTGTTTGTTTGCCCAGAAAGTTGCTCTCCTCAATTTTACTATTTCTTTTATTCTAATATTTTTTCCATGATAAGGATATTAATATAGCATTTTATTATTGATGTTCACAAATTGTACGGATTATAGAAGAATAAACATAACACAGCGTTAAAACACGAGAACAAAATATCATAACGCGTATACGACAAATATTTTACAGCGAAAATAACAACTTGAGATAAGATTTCGGAATCTAAGACATACCTCAAATTTTCGAAGCCCGCGTTGTTCAAAAATATTTCATTAATCTTGGAGGGGAAGTACCCGGATGTAACCGATGTGCCGTACACGTTGAACTCACATGGAAGGTCACACTGACACGTCTGCTGGAATGCTATATTTTGTAGGTAGCCACCTAGATAAAGTAAAGGTAGTATCACTTTGTTATGACGGGCTACGCTACTGTGTAGCCTTAAAATCATGACTACAGCTTAACTCTAAAAAAATAGAAGCTCTTCCAGCTTATGGACAATAGTCTGCACTAACTACCTATAAATGCAGTTTACACTCCCAACCTGCGGTTGCTTTCCTCATGGAATATGTCAGTATACAATAAACACATATTGCATGCAATGAATATGATTAACATTCCTATCAACAGTATGAAGTCGCCGCGTCTCCCATCAAACTTCCCACCGAATGGAGGATTTGATACCTACCTCGGTTATGAAGACGATAACATTCAGCATACTCCCGAAATGTACAGGTCCTCTCCGGGCCTGTTAGAAATGTCATAATTATATCAAAAGTACTGTGAAACACATTATTAGACGTTCCTTAATTTACAACAATTAAGTAACAAGTTATTTCAACTTTTATTAAAATTCCTTGAAATCAGAGAAATAATGTGAAATTTGAATATGCTATCATTCTAACTAGTAATTGGACGTGAGCAAGCACATAATTTTAATTTAAACATGGGAACGGTTTTTTGAATACGGGCCCTGATCTTTATAAGTCATCAAAAATGAAGAACATATAGTAAGCCTTTATAGAAGAAATCCAACACTTTGGCGATTGAACAGCACGTGCAGGATACATTAACAGTAAAATGAAACAAAATTGATCGCCAACTGTTTGCAACTGTACATTTTGTTGATGTCAAACTAAACAAAAATAATGAATATGCTGGTAATGCGTTTTTTTTAATTACATGACAGTTACCTGTGTCTATAGGAGCATAGTTAGCCTACCTGTGTCTGTAGGAGCCTGACAGTTAGTTAACCTGTGTCTGTAAGAGCCTGACAGACAGCCTACCTGTGTCTGTAGGAGGCTGACAGTCAGCCTACCTGTGTCTGTAGGAGCCTGACAGGTAGCTTACCTGTGTCTGTAGGAGCCTGACAGTTAGATAACCTGCGTCTGTAGGAGCCTGACAGTTAGCCTGCCTGGGTCTGTAGGAGGCTGACAGTTAGCCTACCTGTGTCTGTAGGAGCCTGACAGGTAGCTTACCTGTGTCTGTAGTAGCCTGACAGTTAGATAACCTGCGTCTGTAGGATCCTGACAGTTAGCCTGCCTGGGTCTGTAGGAGCCTGACAGTTATCCTACCTGTGTCTGTAGGAGCCTGACAGTTAGTTAACCTATGTCTGTAGGAGCCTGACAGTTATCCTACCTGTGTCTGTAGGAGCCTGACAGGTAGCCTACCTGTGTCTGTAGGAGCCTGACAGTAAGCCTACCTATGTATGTAGGAGCCTGACAGTTAGCTTACCTGTGTCTGTAGGAGCCTGACAGTTAGCCTACATGTGTCTGTAGGAGGCTGAAAGTTAGCCTACCTGTGTCTGTAGGAGCCTGACAGGTAGCCTAGCTGTGTCTGTAGGAGCCTGACAGTAAGTTAACCTATGTCTGCAGGAGCCTGACAGTTAGCCTACCTGTGTCTGTAGGAGCCTGACAGTTATCCTACCTGTGTCTGTAGGAGCCTGACAGTAAGTTAACCTATGTCTGTAGGAGCCTGACAGTTAGCCTACCTGTGTCTGTAGGAGCCTGCCAGGTAGCTTACCTGTGTCTGTAGGAGCCTGACAGTTAGTTAACCTATGTATTTAGGAGCATGACAGTTATCCTACCTGTGTCCGTAGGAGCCTGACAGTTAGCCTACCTGTGTCTGTAGGCGCCTGACAGTAAGCCTACTTGTGTATGTAGGAGCCTGACAGTTAGCCTACCTGTGTCTGTAGGCGCCTAACAGTAAGCCTACTTGTGTCTGTAGGAGCCTTACAATTAGCTTACCTGTGTCTGTAGGAGCCTGACAGTAAGCTTACCTGTGTATGTAGGCGCCTGACAGTAAGCTTACTTGGGTCTGTAGGAGCCTGATATTAGCTTACCTGTGTCTGTAGGAGCCTGACAGTTAGCTTACCTGTGTCTGAAAGAGCCTGACAGTCAACTTACCTGTGTCTGTTTGAGCCTGACAGTTAGCCTACCTGTGTCTTCAGGAGCCTGACAGTTAGCTTACCCGAGTCTGTAGGAGCCTGACGGTTAACTTACCTGTGTCTGTAGGAGGCTGACAGTCAATTTAACTGTGTCTGTAGGAGTCTGAAAGTCAACTTACCTGTGTTTGAAGGGGCCAGACAGTTAACTTACCGGTGTCTGTAGGAGGCTGACAGTCAATTTAACTGTGTCTGTAGGAGTCTGACAGTCAACTTACCTGTGTTTGAAGGGGCCAGACAGTTAACTTACCGGTGTCTGTAGGAGCCTGACAGCCACACATCCTGACTAGGTAGCGATATTTACACTCCCTTATACAGGCGTTGCGGCTGTACATGTCATGGTATCTCAAGGGACTCTGAAAACCTTCCACGTCAGTGTCCAGACAGTAGCGACCACCCGCGCATTTGTATGGGTAAGGTAAGTACTTGTACTACAGAACAAGGTAAAATCTGTTGTCATGCTGGTATCAAACGTACTCTAAAATCTTCCGAGTCTTGCCAAGTGCAAAAGCATGACATGCTTTTTTTTTTTATATAATATACCATATACCGGGGCATCAAATGAATGTGAATGGAGAAATTAACACTGGGCGAATATTGATCTCATGGACGAACGGCGAAAATTTCCAAGTATACAGTATAAGATTATGTAAAATATTCACTTATTGTTTACATTATCATTGCACTTTCCAATCCGAAACATTTAATTGACATTGATAGCGCTATGATTGCATTAAGATTATCCTTCGCGTGATTCGTCATGTGCCATTTTCTTGTGTCACATACGCAAATTATGAATTGGCATTTATGTATTTGCATATTACGAAGGCTATAATGCGAAAGCTAGTTTTCTAGAGCGAGTATTAATATGTAAACAGGTTCACAGCCCTGATCTTTAAAGCTAGTGTTTATATTTTTGATCGTTTTCGCTGTATGCCCCTTGATTCCATTTACACTCAAATTATTTGTCAACACCTTGTTCATGTACAATGTATGAATTAAACCACAGAGGTATTAACGTAATCAATATGATAGATAGCATTGATTGCAGTACGATATCCAAACAACAAAACACCACATTTGATTTGTAATAATGCTCTGAAAGGCACTGGATATTTTGTAGTAACACACTACTTATCTATGGCCTTCTACCAACAGCCATAAGTAAAGTAGAAAAAACAAAACAGCGAGAAATGAACTTATGCATGTACCTGAAGGTGAACTTGCGATCAATTTCAACTAAGTAGACGAGTATTAGCTTGCTGAGATGATGCATGACCTACCTTGGTAAGAGTGAGGGAGGCGTAGACCGAGAAACCCGGGGAGGCAAAGAAACCCTGATCGGTGTCGGGTTCCTCGTTAGGGTCATGGACAATTATCTGGTGGAACACATATCAATATAGGATAACAATAATAATAATTCGTTCCTTCGACCTAGCATAGGTATTTTCTAATCGTTTGTTTACAACATATTAGGGCAACAAAGGATCTTTCATGGTACAGACAAACGTCCCTAAAATCGAATTCGGAGACACATAAACATTGAAACCAAACAAGTCGCCTTGTCGGACCTCTGTCAGTTAATATATATGACCCTCTTACCTCAAACCAGCCACCCACATGCATGTATCCATTGCTAAGAGATGTAAGGGGACGTACTGTTTAAGAAAAAAAATGAAAAAGACACTGAGGACTCGAGTACTCCTCAACAAGTTTATAGGCCCCGACTCTTTACTTTTCTCAGGAAGTCCACAATTCGATCATCGTACAGTAACCGGTCAAAACTCTTCACACGTGTAGAAGATTGACCATCAGAACGAAAAAAATAAATAATGTATATATCTGGAAGGAATGTTTCATACTTTCATGCCGTGTATAAATAATAGAATGATTAACGAAAGGTAATTTGGTGACAGCATACAAAATATAGTATGATTAGGTAAATAATCTTTACGCTAGAGACACGACGAAGTTTCCTCGCCATTACGCTTGTTTTCATTTTTAATTTACTTTTAATTATTTCCCTTTGTCGTTCAAACTTGAAATATAAATTACTGTAAACAAAGATACCTTCATTCCAGCTGCTAGGTTATCGTTGTAAACGTACTCGTCTTGGTCTATGTGGGTGTAAAACGCCAGAGACTTTGCACTTCCGGTTGTGCTCGTTACGAGCGGACCATGACTTCTTATGTATTCTTCACTATTAAATGTGAAACACAAGCCGATCTCAGTGAGCGTTGGGGTGAGAACCTCGCTGCAGTTTAACATGACATTTTGCATGTCGACGCATGCGTAGAATAGGTCATTGACAGTGAATGAAACGTTGTGTATCCATTCGTCCGGTAGGGGGAGCGACAAGTTACTATATATTGGGTAGTCATAGTCTAGGGGAGGTACAAAATTTGTCATCCTACTTATCGTAAGAAGGTAATGTTCCATCGCTGCATCAGGTCTCAGTGAAGATCTCTTGTACGGTGATAAATTACAGAATGTGATGGCAGGGAACGGTAGCTGGTTGACAAGTTCCACTTTGATGTTAGACATGGTTGTGTGCTGGGTGTACTTGTTAAATAGGCCGACGCACGTGTATATCAACAACCCAGCCATACAAAGCAACGCTAATATCCAAAGACCCCTGAAATTACATATATATTCTACTTGCATAAAAGCATGAAGTTACCTTTGGATAGAAACACGTTGCTAAGTAATTTCAAACTTATGCTAAATATTTGTACACTGTTATCTTGTATTTTTTATGATTAGGTAGATACTCGTGTATATCATCCTACCAAACAAACAAAAAATCAGCCAACTTCCGGATCGTGATTAATTATAAGGTGCAAGCATGAATGTTTTTTTCTTTTTAAAGCTTTTAAGACATGCTATTATCACTCTGTTAAAATGCATTTATGAATGAATAATAGGTTGTAATGGATGACTGTTTTTAAAACAGAATGTTTTTGCAATCACTGGATGTAATTCGTAAGTACTGAATCATCCAGCTTTTATCAGACAATACTTCCTCAGCTTTGGTTTGGGTAAACGACAAAAGAAATCAGGACAACAGGACAGAGAAGCGATGAATTAAAAGGTGTTTAATTTCTTATTGAGAGCGAGTCATGGTTATCTTTTATGATATATGAAACCACGAACTATGTTTCATAAGTTTCAAAGATACTAAATAACATCTGTCAAATCTGAAAGTAAGACATGTGATTTCAATTCAAAACAATTGGTAATAGACAAAGTAAGCCAAAATATATCACAACACACTATACAGCCATTTCATCCTTCTAGGACTCATCGATGAAGCTAGGGGCCATACTGTTGGAAATTCAAATTGGTCTAAACAACTGTTGAACCGGAAACAGAAGCGCGTATAACCCTTAATTTGACTAATAATATGAAGATAAATACAATACTGAGTAAAGTTTGAGTATAAACACAATACTGATTAAACTTTGTGTATAAATACAATACTGAGTAAAGTTTGTGTATAAATACGATACTGAGTAAAGTTTGAGTATAAACACAATACTGAGTGAAGTTTGTGTATAAATACAATACTGAGTAAAGTTTGAGTATAAACACAATACTGATTAAAGTTTGTGTATAAATACGATACTGAGTAAAGTTTGTGTATAAATACAATACCGAGTAAAGTTTGTGTATAAATACGATACTGAGTAAAGTGTGTGTACTAATACGATACTGAGTAAAGTTTGTGTATAAATACAATACTGAGTAAAGTTTGTGTATAAATACAATACTGAGTAAAGTTTGTGTATTATGAATTGTGCTACTAGTTTCAATGAAAATTAAAAAAAAGAATTATTTGCCCAAGGTTGCATCAAATATATTTTCAAAACAACGCGTGACAAATCATACATGTTACCGGCATGCTTTTGGTGGTATCGAACACCTTTTTCCAGGACATCACAACCCTATTATATTGGGTCTGGGGACTTTGGGGGCCAATATAACATTTGGGTATTGTTTTGTTTGATTAATTGTCTGCTGCCATGCCGAAGTGGAGTTTCATTTTCTTCTTGGAAATTTACACCCGTCCCATAACGGGAAAGTGGGATAGCGACAAGTCTCAATACTTTATATTGATAACGAATCCGAGTCAAATTTGCATTGACCACAACTAAAAGGGAGTATTGCAATATTTTCCCAGTCCTCCTTTAGACTCTCAGCATACCTAACCGTTGGTTTTGTAACTTTTGTGATTTTCAACTGATCTGACCAACCGCCCTGGGTTTTGCTTCATTTTTTAACGGGGAACACGCTAAGTGTGGCAGAAACCCTTCTCTTCAAGAATAAGCCAATGATCGTAACTCATAATTTAATAATTCTATGTAAGAAAAGATCTCCGATCTGCAAAATCTACCCCATCCTACATGTACTACAAACAAAAAACAACATCTTACGAAAAACGGGTTACATTTGTTTTCTACAGGGAGATATTAATGTATCGTTTTTGTAGAGGTTATTGCAATCACTGAAACAGTTATTCCATTTGTAACGATATATGATAAATAACTGGAGTCTTAATGAAGGTCTTAGGAAAGCCAGACAATAAATACTTAACAACAGTTTTGAAGTAACGGCAAAAGGCAGTCTTGGTTTTACACATGAGCTAACATTCAGAACTAATGCAATGTAAACATAATTTGTTCTACCACCAATTAAAACCAGGATTTTTAGTTCAAAAACGTTTTCGACAAATTTCTCATTGAAACAATAGCAATAACAAATAACAGTCTGATGTATGCACTGCAATTATTCCAATGGTTTTATAGGTATGGAAATGTAACGCACAAACCTAATATGATAAGGAGCAGTTAAATATGTAATATAAGAACTTTAGAAAGAATTCAACTTATATTGTTTTAAATGTAAAATATTATTTTTAATACTTACCCTCGAAGTTTGTAATTGCTCATATCAGTTGCATATTTCAGTCCGTGCATGGTCGTGTTTGATCGGAACGAATGCCACAATGTTTGAACGTTTGTGTCTGTAAGATGAGCACCGGACGGCTCATTTGCTCTTCTGTTTACCAGTGAAGGTTTCTCTGATAGTTTGGTAAGCACTGTGTTTGATCTCTGCTCCTTCTGTAAATTGGTATCTAGAGGAGGCCGACTAATCACTGATGTAAACAAACCATCTTCTGAAAGGTAATCCCGCGTCTTCATCTGGTGTTTCTTATTCGTTGAAAAGCTCCGAGTTATGACTGATATTGATGGTTTAACTTTTATTGTTTTCATTTTGCTATTATAAAACTAACATTTCAGCTTATGTTCCAGTATTTGTAATAAAGTAGCCAGTTCGTAACGTAGGGTAACGTTTGGTAACATATGCGAAAAATTCAACTGTCAAAATAGCATATTGGAACCTTTAGTAGCTTTATACTGTGACTTTGGTTACAAGACTATTTTATGTGTTTAAAATATTCATGATGTAATCAATAAACATTGTCTTTTTATATGTTAGATATACTATTGTATACAATTACCAGGCGTATTTGATCCACTGCTTGTTTTAAAACACATACGAAAATAATATTTGTATCGCTCCTTTTTTAAGAGTGACATGTCAAATAAGTCATATAATTATGTCCTCGAAAATACATTGTAGTTACGGAAGGACTGTCATATCATCGTTGGTTTCATACGAGGTTATAAGTGTGGTAGTTCAGTCTATTACACCAATCATTAACAGCTAGGTTCGGTTTGTCCAAGCTTTCTTCACAGAGGAACGTCAATATACCTTAACGCACTAGTTTTGTACAGTAAGAGTCCCAAACGAGGATTGATTGATTTCATATGTAAACTGAACGATGATCCGAGCTGTCTGAACTCTAGAACGGTAAATAGAAAGTTCATCTTAGCAAACATAAATCGGGTTCTAGAATTCCATTGAATAAATGAATATCCGATTCCATCCCGTTGGAAAAATAGTTCACTGGCGTACTATTTCAAAGAACAAAATAGCTAAAATTTCGATTTTCCTAATACAAAGCTAATCCAAGCAAATAAACTAGCATCATCAAGATGAGTCCCAAGTGGCTTTGTGATTACCAATAATGAAGTCGGCCCGTTTATATCAACACTTTACGTAGGATCGATTATCTCTCACAACTAGTTTTATCGATTTTTTATCTTGTAATATTTCAACATCAAAGCTGCTTGAAGATAAATATCTATTTAACATTAGATTTACAATAATTGGCTGTATACCGATAAATATCCACTATTTAACATTAGAGTTACAATAAGTGGTTGTATACCGTACAATGCTGACATCATGTGAACAATCTGCTATATATGGAACACCACTTGAATACAGTCCGGCAAAAATTGTTGCATGGCACGGAAATATTTTAAGAAGATATACTCGTTATTTTTATTTGTGATTCATTCCTAGCGCCTATTTTGTGCATACATAGACGATATAAATCGTGTTCATGCCCAAATTAATAAAAAAAGAATGTACATGTACAAAGAATAAACAAATTACATATACATGCTCAGCATACAAATTCGAAAAGGAGTGTAAATTTTAAAGTTGTATACGCAGAAAATAAGTACATAAATATGGCGTGTCAAGCGTTGCAAAATTTTATGATTTTATATCAAAGCTCGAAATTTTACATTTGCTTTCAATAGTTTATTCGAATACCCCTTATTCGTCGAACAGTTCGATTGGTCCTGATCGAGTTCGTACATATTCTTTGTAAAGTAACACCGTATTCCTCGAACACAAATTTGTTCCCGACTCTTCATGGCCAAAGTATTATTGGCACAGGTGTGACCTGTCACGCCTGACATACATTTTACCTGTGTATCTCATGAGGCACCACACTGCTGTCGACGTGTCTCAATGTTTCAAGGTTTTTATTTATACACTCTGACACACGTTAAGTGCGTAACAAGTGGTCATCATTTCATAAATATCATTATGATCACCATATTACAAATTACAAAATTACATGCGTGTATCTTATACAAATACATACATATGATTAATAGATAGTATAATATTTAACCAATATTTTTACCGTACAAGCTTTATAACTTATTAAAACCTGCCATACATTACACAATGCAAAAGGAAATTTTCTAAGGAATATACAAATATTTTCATACAGTTTAACATGACATATATTAAACATACATTTCATTTTATAAGATGTAGGATTACGTGTATAGTATCCTGGAATAACTTTCCCCTTAATACACTAATTGAGTTGTTTGGACATTTAAACAAGTAATGTAATTCATCCCCAACAGATTCACGACATAGACTACATATTTGTTCTTCCCTAGGTATTCCTATCCATCTCCCAGTTTCAATTGGGATTTTATAGTTTGCAGTTCTAAATCTGCATATTAATATGCTTCCTTTTTATTAAGTTTCAATAAATAGGGTTCGGGACAAAAATTTGATATAAATAAGGAATATGTTTCAACTCTGCTGCTATTTTCTATATCAGCATACCACTTTTGAATATATTGGTCTTCAAGTGTTTGTTGTAC